CTCTCTCTCTCTCTCTCTCTCTCTCTCTCTCTCTCGGCCATCCACTGTCCTTCACATGTATATCTGGTGTAGGAAATGTTCAGAAACAACCATGATGATGATGATGATGATGAAACGCTCCGCTCGGACTTCATCCCCCTTGCTTGCCTCTGCAAGTCCTTCTCCCCTTCCCTCTCCTTCTCCCTCCTTAATGATCTCTCACTCCTTCGCCTCCACCACTTGCACCACTCGGGCATCTTCATGAAAGTCGCAGCTTGCTCGCTATCCCAGCCCGGCTGATAGTCGCCAGCCTCTCCGCCATCAGCAGTCTGTTTTCCACTGAGCTCCTGTTCCGACATCCATCAGTGTTTTTTTTTTTCTTTTCTTTTTTCTTTTTTTTTTCCCCCCAGTGTTACCAGTCGAGCTTGACGGTACATCCATCAGTGTTTTTTTTTTTTCTTTTTTTTTTTTTCTCCAGTGTTACCAGTAGAACTTGACGGTATTGCAACTCTCTTTTCCCTGTCCCCGGTCCCTAATTACGAGCACCTCGCCTCTGTTCGTTCGTCCCTTCCTTCTTTTCCCAGTTGCTCCCCTGAATGTCCACTTATCTCTTCTTCTTCTTTTTTTTTTTTTTTTTTTTTTCACTTATCTCACCATGATCCGCTATCCTATTGCAAAATAGACGCTACCTCGTTTCCCCTGAGCGAGTCTAAGTGTCCTAAACCGCCACGTACTTATCTTATCTATCCCAACTCTCAGGGTTATTCTTCTTCATCGTGCCTCGGCAAAATCCATAGCAGCCCCAGGGGCCAGAGGTAAATTAAACCCCTTGCTGGTCTCACTACTCCACTGATTGCGCAGCTTGGCAATCCTCGCTGTAAAAACGAGAATATCTGCCGGAATGTGAGCGTAAATCCGGTCTGATGCATTGACGATACAGCTGGGATCTACAAGCGACCTCAGAGCTATATTAAGACCCTTGCGGGTCTCACTGCTGCACTGATTCGGCAACTTGGCAATGCGTAGTGCTCGCTGTAAAAGCCAGAATATCTGCCGGAATGTGACCATGAATCCGGTCTGGTGCATTCACGATACATCTGGGCTCTCTGCAAGGGCCCCCCAGAGCTAAATTAAGATACACCCTAAGCTTGCTGGTGTCGCTGCTGCACTAATTCCGGAGCGTGAGAATATCTGCCGGAATGTGGCCGTGAATCCGGTCTGGTGCATTCACGATACACCTGGGTTCTCGAAGGTCCCCCCGAGCTAAATTAACGCCCTTGCTGGTCTCACTGCTGCACTAATTCCGGAGCTTGGCAACGCTTAATGCTCGCCGTAAAACTGAGATTATTTTTGCCGGAATGTGGCCCCGAATCCGGTCTGATGCATTCACGATACAGCTGGGTTCTACGAGGGAGCCCAATTAAGCCCCTTGCTCGTCTCGCTGCTGCACTAATTCCGGAGCTTGGCCCATCTGGTTACGTACTAAGTCTTGCGTTTTCAATTCTGTACGGACGTCTACAAGACTCTATACCTATCGAATTCCACCCATTTTTTTTTTATTTTTTTTTTGTAATTCCACCCATTTTACAATTCGAAAATTTCGCCAGGACTGTACTTTGTCAATTTCAACTTCAAAAAATCTACCCTTCCCCCACCGAGCACTGCCACGTGGCAATTACTCACAGAGTCRCAGCAAGCAGATCGCCTGTCGAACTAATTATAATTATAAGCTACATGCGAACGACGAAGGTTCAAACTTCAAACCGAAGTACGTAGCATGGTTGCATGCAAGAAGACAACCATGGGACTATCGAGCAGCCTACAAACAGCACTGGAA